TTGGATATCTGGTTAGCAGTTTGCAGGAAGAAATCTACCTTTTGCTCTTTTGTACTCTTGAGGAATCAGGACTGATATTTCAGTATTATTCAGTCAGTATTATTCAGTATTCAGTTTTTATGATATGTTTTCTGAATGCAGTCTGCCTTAAGAAAACAGCTAAAGGGTTGCTCCTTTTCCATTGATTTTGTTTTGTTTGATTGGTGACCATTTTTAAGTGAAAGCTCAGTCTTTCTAATCTTGAAGCAGCATTGCAARAARWAAAAAAAAAAAAAAAAAAAAAAAAGAGATTATTTCAGTTACAAGAATAAAATAAATCTAATTGCAAGAATAACTTAATGCTTTTTAACTCAACAAAAATACAGTGGTAGAAATAGAAAAACCACTTGTTTTCCTGTTGGCGTCATGAAGAAAAGTGACTAAATGCTATGCAAAGGAATCAGATACGGCAGCATTCACTGCAGTGAAACGTGCAGATGAACTATTTCTGAGTTTCTAGGAATGCTTTGGTCTTATTCAAATAGCATCGTGCTTTCCTATGTGTGTCTTCCAGAGGTGCTTCTTGGCACAATGCTTCCAGGTACCTCATGGACAGGAATTAATTTATAATCACAAAACTCTTGAGAGAGAAATTGCACTATTTCTGCTATGTATCTGGCTTAAAAATCAGAGGTTGAGGATACTACTGATTGGTGAGCAACTTCCAGTTTATTTTAGAGGAAGCTTTAAGTGATTTGGCCAAGGTTATGGAGAACATCTATGGAAGAATCCACTTTACCATATTTTCGATGCTACAACACTTTGCCTTCATTCTGATGGTGAAATATAGGCACATGAAAAAAATACTCAGGATAATGTCTTAAAATGGCGCAAATGTGAACTGAAAAGAGAAATGGATTATATCTTTCTCACAAGGGAGATAGATTCGTTTCAGAGAAATGAGTAGATTATTTTGCTGACCGCCAGTGGTAGGTAACAATGTAATTCAATAACTGAGGTTTGAATAGATAGAAAATTAATCTTCAGCCACAGCCTCCTGTGGGACCTTCCTGTGCCAATATTGATTGTGTTTTGCTTCCTGCCTCATGAGAGAAGTTGGTTGGAGTTAGATTTTAATTGTTTTCAGGTGCCAGATTATTTCCTTTCAAAATATGTGTTACTCTTCTAAAAAATGAAGTTTGAGTATTAAAAGTATAGCCACCAATGCAGCAATCTACCCAAGCTTTTGGTAGACGTATCAGACATATCATTAATAACATTTCATTTTCTTTTCTTTAAAATTCCGATGTTATTTACTTGTAATTTAGACTTCTAACAACTGAGAACTACAGAATTCTTGCTGAAAGTAGAAGGATCTATAGCAGCTAATGGATGTTGAGAGCCTGGCATAGCATTAGTTTTGCTGGTCATGAAGCAGAGTCCTCAGCAAGTGCAACATGAACTTGCCCATAATGCTGCCCATATTTGCGGTTGCGTCCTAGAATTAGTTCAGACATCTTTAGATTTAATAGTAAAATTCATCCTGTGCCAAGGGACCTGTAGAACTTTTGGATGTTTTGGTCATTTAGTGCATATAAGTTGCTTGGGCCAATAAGTGGTTTCACTGCCTGGTTTTTACATCACAAGATACTCCTAGAACAGGTCAGCAGGAGGACAGTAAAGGCTTCTAGGGTATTTTGTGTAGTTCTGTTAGGTTCAGTGTCTTGCACTGCAGTGTCATAGCACACAATTCAGTTGTAGCTAATGAATCCGTTAAATTGAGGAGAGTCTAGTAGTTGCCAGAACAAGATTCATCTTGTTCTTGTTTTGCTATTTTGGAATATTGCTGGGAAAAATCTTATGATGTTTTTTTAAGTATGCCCATTGTTTTAGGAGGATGCTGTTAGGAATGTGGGACTAGATGTTGTAGATGAAAGTTTAAGACTGCTGGGTGGGTTACTTAAATCCTACAAGTTTCACCACAGCTCACCCAGATTTTTGCATCCTGAAGGTTCTTCCATAGCTATGAGTGATGGGAGTGACTAAAGTTAACACCTATAACTTGGAATGAAATTAAAATACCTAGAAGAAGAAAGATGATTTTATGTTCAGATGCTGAATTCCCACAGGATTTTCAACCAAATATCTCAGTGTACTGTAGTAAAAAAACTTATATGCAATACCAGTTTGGATGGATAAACCCTTCTCCTCTTTTACTGCCTACCAAATATTTCTTGTGGAAAATTATTTGGGAGAAATCTCATAACAGATAGTCATTCTGGTGTTTTATTATAATAATGTGGCTTGACGAACCCAGGCATTTTTTTCTGACTTGTTCTCTGAAAGCATTGAGAGGATGTAATTGCTGGTGCTAATTCTGGAAATAAATTAGTGTTAGATTTTTTTAATCAAACTGTTTGTAGGCATGTGAGAAGTTTTCTCGYGTTAACAATCAATTATTACAATGAAATTTGCAGATTTAGACAAACTCATTAGTTTGAGCAGCATGAAGCCAGAAGATAATTAGGGGAAGAATTCCAGAATTTATTTAATGTTAGTTAGAATTTCAGATATTGATAAAAAATATCCCATCTGAACATTTAGAAGAAGTGTAAGAATTGAGCCAAATTGCGTTGTCTGAAGCTATTATAATGTTTTGTCATTTCAAATCACAAAACAGGTATAAACTATCATGGAATTTGTCTCTACACATTTAAAAGTGAATTGTACCAATGTTACTTTCTGAGATACAGTTGATTCCATTAGTCTTTTAAAATAAAGTGATTGCTGTACTGCACCAAAACATTTCAGGCCTACTCTTCTAATTCAAGTTCAAAACTAGTAGTATCTAAATGCAAAGTCCTCTGGCAACATTCAGGCATCATATAGATATCTTTATTAGAAGTGTTCATGAAAATAATTGTATATGCATGAAAGTGCATGTAAAGACCATCGTCTGGCCTTAAAATTGCCACACACATTACATCCATTTATATTGCTTAGCACTGTAAATACTTGACAATACAGTTAGGACAGAGAAAATGCCTACAATATCATCTTAGTTTAGATCAGGAGTGGAGTAAATTTACTTGTCCCACTTACTATATTTCACAGACTTTGCAAATTGGATTAATCTCGAGCAAAATCAAACTAGAAAATGTATTTGTCTTTTTGTAAAAGCTTTGGAGTTCATGGGACCAGTTCCTGCCATTTTAAATCATAACTTCTAAAATGCATTTCTTTGAGTTTCCAAATACCAACAAGTATTTCTCTCTCAATACCTGCTTGAGCTTTGCATAGCCATGGTAGAACCTTTTCTGCCTCTCTGCCGTGAGCATTAAGAATAGTGTCTTCCTTTCCTCCTCATCCACTGAAGAAGTTGTGTTAAGTGATAAGGAACAAATGTAGCTCCAAACAAATCTGCAAACAATAACCTTAATGAGAAGATACACAGAAGTTATGCTGTATAAAAACAGCCATTATTGAGTGTTCACCTTCTTCTCTTCCAGAAGTTTAATATTTAGGCTTGCATTGTGAGACTCAGCTGACCTAACACTAGGCAGCTGGGTTGCAAGGGCTTGTACCTAAGCTAATTGCCCCAGACTGTCCTTACAGTGAGCGGATACATGGAGGTATAACCCCGTTATGATCTGTCTCATGGGAAAATAGGTATGAAATTAAGATGGRATGATCTACACTCTAAAAGTGCCCCCTTCCCTTTATTAACTATAAAGGCAGCCTGGAATGATGAGCTCAGCTGTAGTCAGCCACGTTGTAGAAGACAAGAGAGGCCCCAGGTTAGCTGAAATCTATCCTTTGTGTTTCTAAAGGGAACTGGGTCCCTGAACCCCATCTGAGATATCTGCTTACTCCCAGCAGGGTTTGAGCCCATGTTTAATATTACATTTGTCTGATCTCCTGTAACGAAGCAGATGAGGGATTTATATTTTTATTAGATTACTTTGTGGGTGACTTAAATTTTAATTGTGTATACTTCAGGAGTGGATAACGGACATGATGGAAGACTACAACTGATCAGTCAGATGTTTCCTTGTCTGTGTGGTTTTTCAGGATATAACATATCTTCATAAATGATGACCTTGCAGTATATAAAAAAATGCATATATTTGCATGAAATTACTGGCCTAAGTAATTATTTGGTATCATGGTTGCTTCATTATTATCTTAAGTGGCAGTCTGAGTGTGTGGTAAGGCTGGCTGTAATGCTGCAGCTGAGGCAGATGAAGGTGTTACCTTTCTATTTACTGGTTCCTGCTACTTTCCACATTTCAGTAAATGTAGCTGATTTTTTCTCAGAAAAACTCCATTTTTTTCCATTTTTTAAAAATAGTCTAAAAGAGTGGAGTGGGCTAGAAAGAAGCAAGAAGCTGTGATGCTAGTAGATATGGTAAGATGACAATCTGAGGCAGGCCGGCAGTGACGAGTGCTTATATTTTGGGGAATATTTCCATTCTGTCAACTGTAGCCAAAAAAGTTCATGAGATTTTTATCAAGGCTTTTCAATAAAGTAAACTAGTGTTTACTCTATTGATTAGAATATGTTACAGTGAGAAGTTCTAAATAGGCTTTCTTTTCTGTGTTCTGATATGTACCATTCTTCATCAAAAGCTGTTTGTGAAATGTGCATTACTTTAAAATCATGATATAACTTTAAAACTTTTTATCTACTATATAATTACAGAGGAAAATTGAGATTTACCATATTTATATTCAGTACCAATTATTGTATAGTCTGTGTAATAAAAATATATGAATATGTCTAATTATAAATGTAAAAATTCATTGTGATTGTAAACTTTAAGTGTATAAAGTGTTAGGTTCTTACTTATCTGCAGCTCTTTGCTTCACTGAATTTTACTAGGTAACTTGTAATTCATAACAAATTAAATGCTAATGGTTTTAGACTTGGAGAATAATGGTTTATTTATAGTCAAATGCAAAATGGACTATTTTAGCATAATTTGTTATATTTTGACCTGTACATTTCTTTCTTTTAAAAGCCTGAAAAGAATGATACTGAATCTGGCAGCCAGAGAATCAGACCAGTGTTTGAAGAAGATCCTGTTTTCCGACGGCAAACCTCTTACCAACATGCAGCAGTCCACATACCAACAGATATTTACGAAGGCTGTAAGTAGCATGTGAATAAAATGACCTTATTATAACAGTAAGCTTATTATTTGTGTTCTGCTCTTAAAAACAAACCCTAATCCAAAATTTCAACTYCACTTTTAGCCTGGATATGTTGAGGGTTTTTTTTGTTGTTGTTGTTTTTCCAGTTTTCTCATTCATTCTTTGTGCTGTTTTATCCCTTGATTTGAAATATTCTCCACTGCTCTCTTCACTTGATTTTTGACTTGGGTAAAGATGGGTACCCCAAAGGATTTACTTTTCAAGCTAATAACATACCATAGCAAGATGATAGTACTTATTTGCAGAGAGTGTATTTCCAGAGCAGCATAGTAACAATCTTTAGCAGAAAAAATGCATAATATCTTTTTATATAATACTAAAATTTAAATTTATATATGTATGTAGTGAGGATTCCTGAATAGTAACAAAATTCTGAAAGTTGCKACTTACATTGTCTTTCAAGTTGAAAATAACTTATTTTTTTCTGTGCTCATCACAAGGAAAAATCTAATGTCCGCTAAGAAGATTTTGTGGTACATAAATCTACTTTTTTTTGGGGGGGGATAAGAAGAGAAATTAGCATGTTTTGTGTTTTAGGGTTCTAATTTCAAGTTCACAGTCTTCCTCTTTTCCCTGTTCAAAATCTCATCGGCAAGAAAGACACCTTGATTTGATCTGAGCTCCTTAAAATTCATGGCCATTGTGGTGTGCTGCTTATATAAATGACACAGAAATGAAGGTGGAAATGTCAGTTTGATAAGGGAAAGAATCACGGTAGTCTCATATGGTCGACTTGAATGACAGAGACCTAGAGGATTATTCTAGGATTCTGGCTTTAATAAGTGGCAATGTGCACTTTGTGTGCAGGATAAAAGAGAAGGGACAGGCCATTGGCTTTGGTTCTGTGTAAAGAATATTGATACTTTGCAGCTAAACTGTTATAAAACCAGCATGAAATAATTAGAATAATTTGAAAAAAAACTTTGATATGTCATCATCACAGTGTTAAAAGGTTTTGTTCTTGCATTGAATTTGATATTTTGAGTCCCATACCTTAAAGACAATTTTATTTCATACAAATGTGTATTATATGATTTAACTGATGTACATTGTAGTCCATATATCTAAAAATAAAGACTGTAACTTCCATAGAAACTTTCATATCTAAACAAAAATGTGAGCTTCTTGAGGTGCAATAGGTTCCCAAGAGACCGTGTGCAACAAATCGTTTATGAGAAATTCATAATTCTTTGGGATTGACTGTCACATTAACTGCCAGGGAAGTGGGGTACCTAAATGATAATGATTTATACCTAAAGAATAGGAAGAAAAACACGTCAGGCTTAATTATGCAACAGTCCCTCATAGCATAACAACTAACTCACAAATTTATAGTCAGAGTTTCCAGAGTTAAAACCTTAACATTTGCAGGTTTTGTACCAGTAAGCATGCAAAGTTTGTGTGTCACCTAAAACACAGTAAGCAAACCAGAATGCAGATTTCTGGGRCTAGGGGTTAATTTTCTTTATACATTCTTTTCTGCCAACTTTCATTTTTAATTTATAATCTTGAAAGGGGTGATAACATGTCTTGAGCATGACATAAAAGGACAACTGATGTCATTTTTTTTTCCTGTTCATGCGAGTTAARTTGTCACTTTTTGATAAAGCTTTCAGTGTCTGCTATAGCAGCAAGCAGTTGTATGTTTTGACATTAGTTTGATTTGCAGTTCCTTGCCTCATTGCAGTCTGCTGGTGAACAGTTAGAAGGAGCGATTACAGCAACATCTTCTGAGAAGCTGGGGATGAGACACAATGTACAGCTTTGAGAGCTCTGACCTGGGGATTTTTCTGGGTGAATTATACCTCTGAAAACAGATTGTATGTTTTCTGTCCTATTATCTATCTTTTGTAGGATGCCAAAAGAAAAAGAGCTTCTGTGGATCTCACAGAACAATTTTCAATGATATTTGAATTCCCTTTTCTTTAAGATTGGCCCTAATTTTTATTGCCTCCTATGGTAGCAGGTGTCAGTGTCCCTGAGGGACAGAGAGAGAGACAATTATCATAAGAAACAGCTGGATTCCTGAGTCTGAATTTTCACTTGTGTCTGTTAAGTGCAAGTTAAACCAGGTTATTTTCTTGCTGAAGCTGAAAATTTTGGAACGACTGATTCTTAGGCAATAAAAAAAGATTCTTTGCCTGTATGTTCAGTGATGTTCTTACTTTGAAATTCAGCGACAGTGTTTTTGTGAAACACCCCCTTTCGGTTTATCATAGAAATGTGTGATGAATCTTTACTTAATATCCATTCACTAACATCTAGATTGTTACTTTGGCTCGGTCAAGTGTGGAAAGAAATAGTATAAAAATGATCTTACTCTGTTCTCTGTATCTGATGTCAAAATCTCAGAAGATACAAAGAAAAGTCAAGCAAGTTTGCTTATTAGCCTTATTGATGTTGCTGTTTTGTGGGTTTCTTTTTTTCCTGCTTCACTTGCTCTGAATCAGAAGTTTAAATTATTTCCAGCAGTCTCAATTTAACTATCGTTGGAGTCAGACTGGCAGTGTTTATATGCAGTGTCTTCAGTGTGATGGCTCATGGCTTTGGACACATTTAGACAGATACCAACACATGAAAAAGAAAAAAAAAAAATCCCCTACCCAGAGTTTATCAGACTAGTCGTAAATAAACTTGTGATTAATTGGTGGTTCATTTAGCTTGATAATTAAAAACCAAAATGCAGGATGTTCATCGTGCCCACTTACTGGGATGACTGTCAAAATTTTGCTCTCCTTAAAACCTCCTCAGATGTATATTATTTTTTAGCAGCAAGCATGACAGTAAATGTCAGGTTTTAGTTTTCTAACTGTGTATCATTTGCAAATGTTCATCTATTGCTTTCCTGATATAATAGTCCTTAGTGCTTGCAGGCAGTCGAAACTTTTAGGAATAACTTGAAATATTGTTAGTTTGAAGCTACAGCAATTTGTGTTACACACCCGATCCTGGACTTACTGCTATACTATTCAGCAGCTACTGAAAATGTGGGGTTTATTGGACACAGAGACAAATGTTCTTMGGGAAGAAGTTTTGAAATGCTGGCAAATAAAGTCATGAGAGCAAGAATACCTTTCTCCTCCTACCCCCTCGCCACATACACAGACACACAGAAAATTATTCATTTTTATAGAAATACTAGATAGAGATATTATTATGATAGAAAACCATACGTGTAGATAATAAGTAAGGCATATTCAGGGAGCTATATGTTGATAAAGGAATCATGTAAATATTTTCAGTGCTACATCAGCATTCCTGAAAAGAGCAAAGTTATAAAAGAAGTTATAAAGTTATAAAACTTCTTTGTGCCTTATTGCACTTAGTTTAAAGAAGAATTCAGTGTGTTTCTTGTTTTTTATTATGTACTGGCAACAGGGATTTTTTTTTCCTTTGGAATTACTTGTTTTGAAAGAGTAATGCTATTAAATTCATTTAGAATAGATTTTTTTTTCCTTTATCCTTCTAAAGGATGTTAAGGATAACAAATATTGTTCTCTTATTACAGCTGAAATTGAAAAAGAATGTCTTTTTTGACTCTTGATGCCTGCTTTGTGTTCACATCTTTGGAATTTGATTACACCTTTTACCTTAGAAATAGGAATTGAATTGTATGAGTGCATATGTCTTGTGCAGCTGGCATGATTACTCTTTGTTCTATTTTTTTTATTTTTAATGATTTTAATCAGTGATCTATTTGTGGGGGAGGGAGAATATAATGAGTGAAGTGGACCTTTAAACAAGTTCTCTCTCAGTCTGTTTTAAATACCAAACCCTATGGCTTGGGGTAAGGATAAAGCAAATGTTAGTTCCAGCCAAGTCCCCGTGTGTTACCACCCTGACTGGCTGCTTTMAGTATTAAACCTGGAAGGAAAATACTGAAGCATAAACCTAAGCAAAGAACTCCAGGGTCAGTATTACTTTCACATTCCGGATATTATGTTATTATTTTAATATAAGTCTCTTATTAAGACTCCCTGAAAGAAAATCTTTCTATTTTAAAAAGAGACTTGAGAACTGAAGTGTGTTAAGAGCTACAGCATCAAGAGAACAGAAAATATAAGAGCATGACTAGTTTAATGGTTAATGATTTCTGCTGAGGTTAGTGTGATCTGCCAATCTTTATTTATTTATTATTTATTTACAAATACAGCTCTTAAGTGTAATCTAACTTTCATCTAAGTTCAAGATGCTGTAACTTAGATATAGTAGAAGAAATTTGAGGGTGGATGAATAGGATGTAAAAGAATCTTTTTTTTTTTTCCTCCTTTCTGAAATTAGTTCATATAACTTGGGGAAATTTAAACACCTATTTTTTTTGAACCAAGAATTCATCTGCATATGTCTCTAATATACCATAGTTTTCCAAAATAATCAAAGACCTACTGATTGTGATTAATGTTTTGAATGTCATGCTGAGAGGTAAAAAGTCATACCAGAAGCTAAGCCAGTGATAAATTGTTAAATTGGTAATTGTGGTTCTCATTTAAGTAAAAGAGAAAACTCTAAAATGAACAGACTTTTCAGAGTGCAGAGTCTTCTGCAAAGTTCTTGACTTTTGAAGCTCCAGGGTTTTAGGCAGAAAGATGMCAAAACAGTTCCATGTTCTAAGATTTTAGTGTAAAACATTGCTTAGCTGGGTAGGTAATAAAATGTGTGAAAAAAAATATTTTCTGGTAAAATAAATGTAGTTCATTATTATGATTCTGTGTGGTTGCCTTTCACTCTATATACTCATCCAGTAYTATCTTGTACCTTAACACAAGTCTCAAGATTCCAGTGTTTGTTAGGCAGCTTAACTGAGTAATAAATGTTGAAGCTGTGCATCCTGCCAACATCTATTTTGSAGAACAGATGATTACTGCTGTTCCTCAGATCTGTTTCCATTGCTTCTGCAATATTTTCTCTTATGCACAGCTTGGAATAGCAATTAGTAT